GAAGAAGAAAAGATACCTGTGAGGAGAAGGGGTAGACCACTGAAGCCATTTGAAGGATGAAATAGAGGAGGAAGAAGAAGCCGAGAAGGTAGTAATGGAAGATGAAGATGACAGCGAGAATATAAAGAGTGAAGCTGTTGAGAATGGAAAAAAGAGGAAGAGCTCTCCGCAGGTCAAGGAAAATGCTGATTCAGTGAAAGAGGAAAATGGTGTTGGCACCAAAGCTAACTCTAGTGACTTGATAAAATCAGTTGGATTCAGACAAAACGGGAGCAGAAGGAAAAACAAGCCTAGACGTGCTGCTGAAGTTGGTGTTGAGTGCAGATGAACAATGGCTCGTCATTTTGAATAACTGATTCAGTGATGATTTGCTACTCGACCCTCGTTATATTTTCTATGTTTTTGATCATTGCAATTTAATCTGAGGAATTCAATTTTGTGAAGATTTCTGCAGCAAATTTTAGTCTTACTGAATGTGTTGCTGCTAGATCTCTTAGCTAGTTCTCTCATTTTGCACGTGTTAGTAAAACTAGAAGCTTATTTGCCCCCTCCATTGTAACTTTTGTTTAGCTGGATATGTGTGATGCCCTTGTTTGAAATGGTAGTTATTATGTTTTTCATGAGTATGTATTATACTATTACTTGACGTGTGAAAACTAGAGAAGCATGAATTAGCCTCTTGGTCGGTAACTGAAGTTGTCTGAGAAAGAACTCTTAATGCCAAACTGAGGTGGTAGTGAAAGCCAGAAGAAAGCGCAATGTTAGTGTGCTGAATTCAGGGTACAAGCTTATTGCAGATCAGAGAAGACATGCTATTTCCTTCTGTTGTATTGGCTGATATTTTCATTTTGTTGAAACTGAAGCCAGTTTTCCCAGATGCAATTGAGTTTGCCTGCTCGGTGGTGATATCTCTGATCTTATTGTTCTTCTCATAGTGCAGTTTTCTGGTTTTTAGCCTACTAAATGTGATGTTTATAAGGAGTTAATGTATGATTGATAGAAGTTGTCTGAACTCTTAGTCGTCTTGCTTCTATTGCTAAGATCTAATGTTGAGGATCTGTGTTTTTGCTTTTATACTTTCATAATAGCTATGCACTTGCAATGTGGTTCTAAACTTGGTCGGGTGTTCACAACCCGTGCATACTAAACCTCTGTTTGAGGTATGAACATTCTTTGGACGATTGATGTGAAGTAATTGCTAACTTTAAACCACATGGTCGATGCCATATCCTAGCAAGAATTTTACTTGTGATTCTTCCACCAGAAAGGAATTGCGGAAGGAAACTGACGTTTGGCACTTGAGCAGTACAAATGGAATTTAATAGTCTCTTCTGTTGGTGTTATCCCCATATATCTGTTTTGTCCGAAGGTCCGCAAGATGTATAAGGTGTTCTTAGTGGAGATAGCTGCTTCTAATATTATGCATTGGCAACAGAGCTGAGTTGCATGATCCAGAACTTGTACTGTATAGAGTTCCACTGTAACTAACTGAGCAACTGGTATTGAATTTCACTATGTTTTATGCTTTACCATCACTTTTCTGCAGTTAGATTTGTGTTGAATTGGAAAAGCAATTCATTTGAACCTGAGCATGCATATACACCTCCATATTTCCAAGGATTAGGTGATTCTTTTTGGCCATGCATATCTGAAATAGCAAGTCCTGTTAATGTAGAGATATCAGCTGATTGTTTCAGTTAGCTCTTCCTGTTAGATGTCTACAACTCAATGGCTATACTTGCTGTTTATTCTTGTAAGAAACTTATTTAGCAAGGGTATCAGGATATGGAATTCTCTACACTTAGCCAACCCGTTTGTCTGTTGACAAATGATTTAAGAGAAACCTGTTAATTGATTATTACAGTTCGTAGAAATTAATTTCCAACCAAGAAAATTTGAGATTGATACAATTGTATACAGAAATACGTTCAAATTCGATTTTGCACATGTCATACGTTCAAGAAGCTCTTCAGACATACACAACGCTTGGGAAAAAATACCAGGAGATGCTTACCTTGAATGAGGCAATGTCTACACGAATGACTGTAAGTTGCCTTTTATTTATGTATCCGTTTCCTATATGTATCCATGGTACAAGGTATTTAACTGTATATATTTCAAGGTAGCAATGGAAGTTGTATCCTATATTCAGTCAAGACTACTCTAATATTCTGCCAGCATTCATGTAGTCTGTATTCTAATATATTCAATGTATTTACATGTATATACATGTATGTCTTTGAATTCTGTATGTACAAATATAGTTGTATCTACTGTTGTTGTATTTTAATACAAAATATATTATGATTCTTAAAACTAAATAAAATTATAATACTATATATGAAAATCATATTTAATACGTCTATTCTTATATATATGTATGCTTTGTTTTTTTAAATGTAGGTGGTGCCATCGACTGAATATTTGCATACGGTGAACGATGAAGGAAGGCATTACACAATATGCTTTTTAGAGAAAAAATGCAGTTGTGGTCGGTTCCAAGTCAACGAATTATCGTGCCCACACGCTTGGACTGTCCTGAAGAGCAAGTATCTAATGCCAGAAGATTATTGTTCTGATTATTACAAACCAAAGTCTGTTGTAATGATATATGAGGTGCCCGTGTATCCTTCGCCGGACCGGAAAAAATGGAATATACCAGCACATGTAGCAGATGAAGTTGTATTACCGCCCAAATAGAAAAGACCTCCTGGAAGACCAAAGAAGAAGCGTGATAAGCCCTTCATTGAATTGCTGCAGAAGAAAAATCAACATTCGTGTAGCATATGTGGGCAGGAAAGACATAATAAGCGTACTTGTAGAAATGCTCGACGTTGAAATTAGTTCACAATCTGACTTGTATTAATGAAAAACAATTTGTTATAGATTCCGGTGTCATTTCGAATATATTTTGGATATACTTAGTTGGTGTATTAAATCTGAATACGTAATTAAAATACGACCATTGCATCTTCATTATATATGAATATAGATGAATACAATCATTGAATACATTGAACTGATGATTCTTTTTGGAATACATATAGTACAACAGAGAGTTAATATGATTTATGAATGTTAAATAGATGTATTCAAATACACTTGAATACAAATTATGATAATCTGTTATTACAATCAGTTATATACAAAAGCTGTATTCAAAATACAGCTGAATACATATCAATGCAATATATCATATAAATATGAAGGTCTACAAACACCTCCTGAAAATATGTGAACATAACCGGGTGAATACATATAAATACAACTTAATGAATATAGATAAATATATCATGTTGTATCTTCATTATATATGAATATAGACGAATACAATCATTGAATACATTAAACTGATGATTCTTTTTGGAATACATATAGTACAACAGAGAGTTAATATGATTTATGAATGTTAAATACATGTATTCAAATACACTTGAATACAAATTATGACAATCTGTTATTACAATCAGTTATATACAAAAGCCGTATTCAAAATACAGCTGAATACATATCAATGCAATATATCATATAAATATGAAGGCCTAAAAACACCTGCTGAAAATATGTGAACATAACCTGGTGAATACATATAAATACAACTTAATGAATATAGATAAATATATCATGTTGAATACTGACTTATACAATAAGTTGAATACATATCAATACAACATGTTGCATACATACTAATACAACCTAAGACTACTCTAACATTATCTTCACCGATGTATCAGAATCGGTGATGTGCCTAAGAATCTTTGAAGGTGCTTCGCTCTCGCTTACGGCATCAACGTCTATCTTCCGCATAGCATAGTCCCAAAGGAGTGCACCATATCTTTGACGGAGTAAATTGGCATCACATTTTATTTGTGGAACCAGCCCAACTGTGCTAAGAAACTCTGCGTATGCCGCGACAGCTGATGAAATATATACAGTTGAGTATAAATGAGTGTAGATGAGTACTAAAAAATACAACTGGATACAGCTGATGTATTTGTATGAATAATACAGTTGAGTAGCACTGTTAGTAAATGAATACACCAAAATATAACTGAATATAGCTGCATAATACACTTAAATACAACTAACTACTGCTGAATAATACACTTAAATACAACTGAGTACATCTGAATACAAGTGATTACGTACAACATGTTTAATACATCTGAAATTGTGTTCTTTAATATATATTATTCTAACTTGAAAGATACATTTGAAAGAATGCTGCTGAATACAACTGAATACAGCTGAATTTGACAGTTAAATACAACTGAATACAGAAATAAATACATCTGAATTCTTTTATATAACCTACCATCAACATACATAAAGTTTCTGAAATTGACATTAACATGTTCATTAACTAAAACTTGTTCAAGCAAAGTTACTTGGTATTAACACATACTTGAATCCTGTAAGATAAATATGTATTCAAACTGAAGAATAAGCATGAATACTCATGAACAAACCATTGAAAAAGTGATTGAAAAGTTGCAATTGTCATACGCGAACACTGTTGATAAAGTGTTAAGTTTTTCAAACTAAATACGAACTACACCAAAAACTACTCAAAACAGTATTCTTCTTGAAACTACACTCCAAAACTACAATAACCTAAAGCTACTCTAACACTATCTGCATCTTTGAATCTGACTCCGTGATTTGCCTAGCAATCTTTGAAGGTGCTTCATTCTCGTTTATGGCATCAACGTCTATCTTCCGCATAGCATAGTCCCAGAGGAGAGCACCATATCTTTGACGGAGTAGATTGGAATCAAATGTTGTTTGTGGAATCTCACCAAGAGTGCTCAGAAACTCCGCGTATGCTGCAACATGCACCCCACAATCCCTAAAAAATAATTGATTGAAACAATTAAAAATAATTCATACAATTAGATTTGTATATAACATACAATAATGATGCTTGAATACCTACATGCTTCCAGCTTTCTATTGAGGCAGATCTAAAATGAAAAAAACTTCAAAGGGATCATTATGTGATTTGTTAGTGTATGCTGAGTAAGCAGACCAATCTATGCCTTGACTATCTCTGTAAAAGCCACTGATTGATAGATACAGAGGTACAAGCTTAGCTAGTTTATCAATCTCAGAAACTACATGAGCATCATGACCTGCAGATCTGTACGAGTCATACACTTTTATACATCTCTCCTTGAATGAGACAACAACCAATACCCAGTGTAGTTTGTCCTTCAAATTGACTGGTATCATGACATTATCCACAATATGCCAATGTACATTAGCATGCAATCTGCAGCCTCTTATGTACTCACATACCACATCCTTTTCTTTGGCTACATTAGCATCACTATCTGTATCAGCATACCCGTCGAATATTCCAGCGATTCTTGTCTTGGATATACAATCAACAGTTGTATACTTGAAGTTGCTTGTTTGATTGTACTTTCCCTTCTTTCTCAAATAGTAGAATATGGCGTCAATATGCTATACACAAAAGAGTTCAATACATGGTGTGAGTCCAATTAATCAAACTATTAAAGAATATAGCTGAATATAGAGAAATAAATATCAAACATACAGTTGAATACAACATCTGATTACATCTTACTACATCTGATTAAAAAAATTCAGTTTTTTTAAAAAATTTGTTAAGCTGAATAATATTGAATAATACAACTGACTACATATGATTTAAACAGTTGAATATGACTGTCTACAGTTGAATACAGCTGAATACAGATAAATTAGGTTGAATACAACTGATTAAAGCATTTGAATTCAACTGAAATATAGCTAAATATATCTGAATGTAGATGTTGAATAAAGTTGAATACAAATTCAGTTGAATACAGCTGATAAAAGCATTTGAATACAGCTGAATACAAATTCAGTTGAATACAACTGAATACAACTGATTAAAGCATTTGAAATTAATTGAAATTAGCTGACTACAGATGAATACAGATGTTTAATAAAGCTTGAATATATCAATTGAATACAGCTGACTCTAAGTGAGTAATATAGTTCAATTCAACTAACTATAGCTGAATACAACTGCATACACTAAAATACAGTTGAATACAACTGAAAAATACAACTGAATACAGCTGAATACAACAGCATGTTGTTATTCAAATAAAATAAGTCAGTTAGGGGAAAAACTTACTTTGTCATCCCATAGCTTCCCGTCAAACGATAGAAGGTAAAACCAATTTTTTGAATTAATTTGATCAACTCCAAAATCCAATGGTATATGAAGTGTTAACTTGTTCTTCTTCTCTGAAACTAGACGTGGTGATAAACCTACAAAATCCGACTCCGCTTGAGTTGTTTGCAACGAGAAAGAGGGCCCATCAAAATTGAGAATTTTGGTGGGTATACCTCTGGTTATCATCTTGTGTGGCGTTGAATCCGTCATTGGAGAGAAAACCCAAAGCTTCCTGGTGAGTAAACAATACCAATGGTTATTGTTTCAGAAATTTATGAAAAATCGGTATAAAAATTATAGAAACAAAATAATGATAAAGCAATATCGAAGAAGATAACTTACCAGGCGTATAAAAATCGAAACTAAAACAGTGAATCCCTGAAGATTTTGAATGTGGGATTGATAATGGCGGAGAAATAGAGAATTTGGGTGGGAGAAGATTTATGAAACGTGGGTTTGTGGGAGAAGAGAGTAAAGTGTATGTAAAAAGAGAGAGAGAACGTGGTTAGAGCAGATATACGGTGATTATGTGAGAGAAAATACAAAAAAGGAGAGAGAAAAATATTATTTAGCATATATGGTGCCTTAAATGTAGGATTTAACTATAATTAGATATTTTGCTATAAAAGATAAAAGTTATTTATAGGAAGTAATATTTTTAAATGGTATTTATTTAAAATAAATAGGGTACTAAGGTTTTCTATAGGGTGTAAAATTTCTTTTTAAAAATGGGTCAAATATGGATAAGAGCCATATTATCCATTTAGAAATGGATAACTAATGGGTAACCAATGGTTAACTAATGGGTTTAACTTTAACATTTGTAATGCCTCAAATTGGGGGTTCCTCAAGTTTGGGACACTAGGAATTCTCCCAAAAGTGATTATATTGAAGAAGTCATGGATAATATGGTTACCCATATTATCCGTCGGTTAACCTATTTTTTATCCGTATTAGTATGGGTCGGGTCGTATAATTTATCCGTTTTTGACCCGAACCATATCCATCCCGACCCGCTCGTTTGCCACTCCTAATGATACATATGCAAATAGCAATAAGTCCATACCCTATCCATTAGATATTATCTCATATATTCACTATTAATTATTATTACTGTCGGAATACTTTCTATTTGGATATGGCTTTACTATTCCTAATTCTTATTGGCATTATTAATGTTTCTCTTGCATTTTCTTGATGATGTATTACTTGAATACTTTATTTAGATGATTGCAGTGAGAACAAGGAACTTTTGAGGCAATTTAACATGAACACTTCATTTGGATGTTCATTTTTATAAGAAGAAGAAACATATCAGCTTATAGGCTCAAAATTGAAAATTCAAAATTAATCTGAAACCGAATTTAGAAAATTAGATCCAATCTGAACTTATTTGGATTGGATTTAGATTGTCATTTCTTCAATCTGAAAACCGAATACCTAATCCAAATTGCTCGAAAGGCAACCCCCAGTGAAAAGTAGCTTCACGAGCGCTTAGGGGTCGTTTGGT